ATGTGGTTATCCACGTGTAGCCGCTACAACGTGGTTACCACGAAAAAAAACAATGAGGTTATTACAATATTGAATATTGCGTTGAAGCCGCTACAACGTGGTTATCCATTCTCATTCCATGATTCCACAACGTCGTCACACCAACATCACACCAGAGAGGAACAAGTATGGCCGAGAAGGAAGAAGAAGATGACCGAGAAGGAAGTGGATTATATATATATATATATAGAACTCCGACGAAACAGTTCGTCACAGCCCCTCGTTTGTTGTCCTCTTCTCTCTCTCTGCCTACGGTTTACCGGACAGTTCTGTTTGTGATGACATATATATCGTCAAATAGATGAAGAAAACGAAGAGAAAAAGACACCCGGACAAGGAAGTCATCCAAAACATGTATCGGTAAGACCCAGAAGCGACAGTAGCCATTAGTACACGTTTTATGAATGGTTGTCCAAGAAAAAAGAAAAGAAAAAGAAGAAGTAGACGTTTGAAAACAATGATGAGCTATGGCTATGACAATCCGCGTGCGACAGTACATCACGTGGGGTTTCCGCAGGCCGCAGGTCGCCGTACAATGATGAGCTATATAGCCTATAGCCATCATTACACGTTTGAAAACAATGATGAGCTTCTTCAGGAGTCTTGTCTTGTGTGGAATGACTTCGTGCTCCAAAGGGCCTCGCTGCACTATTCTCCAAATGTGCAAAATGAGAATGAATCTTCCGCAACAACGTGGAAAGATACACCTCCATTTTTTATTTTTATTTTTTTTGTGCATGTGGACGTTGTGGAGAGTAGTGCAGGGAGGCCCCTAGACATGTCTAACTAGGAAATTAGGAATCACACACTACCTATTCCATCCATTAGATTAGAGCGTAATCATCAATGCCACCCCCTTGCCCGGGCTATCGTCGATACCCTGTTAAACCCCCCCCCCACCCAACTCTCCTGCACTACCTTCTTCCCCCTCCCCCGAATACAACGTACGGTCATTATATCTGTATTTGCGTTATCTTTCAGTCTAAATACAAATACAGCTATAATGACCGTACGTTGTATTCGGGGGGGAAAGAAGGCACTCCTCATTCCTCATTCATGCATTAACCCCCCTTTAAAAAATCCTTTGTAAATTGCACCCCCCGTCAAATCCTTTGTAACCCCCTCCCCACATTGTCAAGTGATAGGGCAAGATTGACATGGACAGTGAGTGAAACCCAGTCCCAGGGTTTTTTTTTTTTTTTTTTTTTTTTTTTTTTCGAGAAGCCCCAGGCGTTTAGTTACTTTAGTACACCCAATCCCCGATCGCCTTTCTTGGGCTTTCTCACAGACTCGCACCTCTCCAACAGGAAGAGAGGCAGTCGACGGAGTCGACACTCGTACCCTATGATCGCTTCCGGGGACTCGGATAGGCGGTTTTTTTTTGTTTTTTTTTTTTAATGGTGCTCAGGCGGCTACAAGTTACAAAGGATTTGCAACTGACCGTTTGCTGAGTGCTGGACAAGTACAAGGTGAAGAAGCCCCAGACTCCCAGAGGGCCCAGAGGGGCACAACTGATGACAGGCAGCAAACTTGAATCATACTCAGGGGGTATTATTACTGGGCAGGAGTTTCGGCTTTCGGTACAACTTAGTCTGAACGTTTGTTGCTGGTAAGCCGAACCTGGATTGTGCATTTGGCGCGAACCTCCTTTTTCTTTTTTTTGTACCGTGTGTGTGTGTGTGTGTGTGTGTGTGTGTGTGTGTGTGTGTGAAGATGCTTCGATCTATTCGTTGGGAAGCAGCACGTGCTGGGAACCGGGGTCAGCGTCCCATGATTTATAGAATTGAATTGCACATAATTGTACATCTTTGAACACGTAATCATCAGGACGTAACCGATGTGCTGGCAACCGCGGGCCAAGTCCCACTTAACCCGAATGATCGATATCTGACCGCAGATTCGGAAGATCGACGGCCAGAAATCAAGGATCAGCGTAAGTGGGACTTGGGCCCCCGGGTCCAGCCTCCTCCCATAACAACCTTTTCCTCCCATTAAAATTTCGCCAACCTCAGGATTGACCCTTGTCATCTTTTCTTCTTGTGGATGTGGTTTTGACTAGTGGTGATTGAGGACTGTCTTGCCGCTTGCCGCTTGCCGCTTGCCGCTTGCCGGTGTGAGCTCTCTCTCACTTGGGAACATTTGCCGCCGTTCAGCCGAACCTGGATTGTGCAGTTGGCCGAACCTCAGGATGCCATTGTCTTTTTTTTTTTTGTTTGTTTCTTTTCTTTCGATTTCGTTCTTATAGTGCGAACCTGCAACGAAGTTTCTTCAGCCTATCCTGGATTGTCTTGCCGGTGTGAGCTCTCTTGGGAACATTTGCCTCCCTTCAGCCTATCCTGGATTGTGCAGTTGAGCTTTTTGCGACGACGACCAAGACCCCTGAAGAAGACTGGTTGGCAGGTCAGCCGCAACTAATGGGGTCCAAAAAAAAAACAAAAAAAAAAACAAAAAAAAAAACAGAAACTAATGGGGTCCATGCCGCCTGAGCTTTTATTGTAATATCCTTTATGTCGTGTCCGGGAATATATTTTTTCACGAACCTGCGTGTTTATCCACCTCTTCTTTTTCTGCTTTCTTTTTTCTTCTTTCTTCTTTCTTCTTTCTTCTTTCTTTTCTTCTTTCTTCTTTCTTTTCTTCTTTCTTTTCTTCTTTCTTCTCTCTCAATGGTTGCAGATTGTTAACTATCTGGTGCATTGGTTTGGTTTCATCTTCGTTCCATAATTGTGGTTGATGACCATTGAATTTGCTAAAGTAGCCTTTCAAGTTTCAATAGACCAACTATCCTGGATTGTGCAGTTGGCCAACCTCAGGATTCACCATTGTCTTTTTCTTTTCTGTTTCTTTTTTTTTTTTTTTTGGGGGGGGCGGGGGTGGGGGCGGAAGGGGGGGTCTTACAAAAAAAAGGAGTATATCATATAATCACAGGCTGGGAAACGGGCCCAGTGTCCCTCACATCAATAACCACGGCCTGCAGGGATGAGCCAGGCTCTCCGGCCTGGGTTGGATTAACCCCACCTCGGCTGAGCACCCGTAGCCTGCAATGCCACACACTAATTAACTCTAATTAACATCACACCCTAATTAACACTAATTAACATCACCAACCCTAACACTAAAGCACAAACCAACTCCAGCCATCAAAAGGAAAACGCAACCGACGAATGGGTGGAGACACTGGAGAGAGAGAGTGAAAGAAAAAAATGAGAATCGTGTCCAACTGGAGGCCTGGTTGCACTTACTCGCCACTATATTATATTTCTTCCACAGAAAAGTTATAAAAAAAGAAAAATTGGTCTGCCTGATCTCTACTCGTGAAGGCTTGCAGTCTCCAGGAAGTTGTTTTGTGGAGAGCTCGGAGGACCACCACACTCCACAAAGTTCACAAACCGCCTCGCCGTGCACAGGCGGGGGAAATCGAAAACACTCTCCACAACCACACTCCAGAAACCCCCTCGCAGTGCACAGGCAGGGAAACAAAAAACACTCAAACACTCGCCACAACTCGTGTGCGTAGACGGTGTGGCGAGCAGTCTGACATATTTTTCATTCGCCAAATTTCACTCTCCACAACCACACTCCACAAACCGCCATGCACAGGCAGGGGAACGAAAACACTCGCCACAACTTGTGTCCGTAGTAGACGGTGTGGCGAGCAGTCTGACATATTTGTCATTCGCCAAACTTTTTTGGCGAGTAAGTGCAACCAGGGGCCTACTCGCCAAACTTGGGGAATGGAGAGTAGTGCAACCAGGCCCTAGTAGGCTAGTAGTGATTAAGGACTGTTGCGGGTGTGAGCTCTCTGGGGCTTCACCTTACACAGGCTTGCAGTTCATTGTTAGTGTTTTTTTTTTTTTTTTTTTTTTAAAGTATTGTTACCATAGCAAAGGTCATCACGAGGTTGGTAAGCCGTTGAAGAGCGCGGCCAAAAAAAAAAGGACCAAAAAAGGAGGTGGTGACAAATTGCTGAGTCACACTATCAGGAGGCATGTGATGACAGTGATGTCATTTATTGCCAGAACGCTCTCTCTCCGAAACCATTGATAGAAAGGTGGAAAAGGACGAAGAAAAGGGGTTTTCGCTCAGACTGTCAATCCACAGAATTGAGAGAGGAGAGAAGGATCAGGAATGCGAGAATGGAGAGAGGTTAACGCAGGCTGGGTGGTAAGGAAGGACGCCCAAGAAAGTAGAAGAGATTATCATATCATTATATCTGATTCCAGTTCCAGTTCGTTATTTTTGACATTGAACGGGACAACCACTGCACAAGGATGATGCTGGTTCTGTCGAGCTGGTTTGTGCTCTCGCCCATTTTGGCTTTTTCAGACTCGGCATTTTGTCTTTCTTCCCCCGTCTGGTCCACCAAAGGCGCATATGCCACCTGATTGCTTCAGTGACGATATATATATATACACAGACGCATATATATAGCCTCCTGATGAGTCGGTGAAACTCCAACGAAACGGTTTGTCACAGCCCCTCGTTTGTTGTACTCTTCTCCCTCCCTCCCTCTCTGCCCCTACGGTTTACCGGCCAGCTCTGTTTGACAATATATATACCGGCCAGCTCTGTTTGACGATATATATACATATAGATATATAGATAGATCATAGATAGACAGATAGATAGATAGATAGATAGATAGATAGACAGATAGATAGATAGACAGATAGATAGAGAGATAGAGAGATAGAGAGATAGATGGATAGATCGCCAAACAGAACTGCCCGGTAAGCCGTAGGCAGAGAGGGAGACATGGACACAGAAGGAGAGAGAGAGAGAGAGAGAGAGAGAGAGAGAGAGAGAGAGAGAGAGAGAGAGAGAGAGCACCCAGATTGCCAGCTAGTGCAACGGACTACACTTGATTTTACCCTCCTCAGCCTGCTGGGACGTGCTCACCGTCCACTGCGTCCAGCAGCGCAACCAATCTCATTGAAACCAGTTGTGAACCTCTTCTAGACTTTCTAGTTTATAACTGTTCATTCCATTTCATTTCTTCCATCGGGCAGCTCCTCTACCGGCAGATTTCTTTTGAAGTCTTGATGTCTTTATGAAGCTTTATGTGTGTACCGTCCGGCGACCAAGTACAGAAAATTCTCTTATTATGTAGGTCTGAATCCCCATTTCAGACGCAGGTGTGTTTACATATGATGGGCTCACAAAGAAATTTCACCCAACACTGCCAACAGTGCCGTCACTGCCGTGTCAGCACCCTGCCCAGAGCCTGGCCAGAGCGGCGAAACTTTTCATTTCGTCAATGGGGGGAACAAACAAGCATGTGCATGCAGCACATTCTTTGCAAATGCTCTCTCTCTCTCTCTCTCTCTCTCTCTCTCTCTCTCTCTCTCTCTCTCTCTCTCTCTCTCTCTCTCTCTCTCTCTCTCTCT